GTTATACCAAACGACAAAACACAAACAGCCATAACACACGCTCTGATCCGACCCGTCCCGACGATAAACAACCTGTCAAACAGCAGTCGCTCCTATACCTCCCTCCGCTCCAGCTCTCTCGGTACACTCACATTAATGTCCCTGCCGGGCCGGTCCTCGACAGCTGGCGGGCGATGTCCTGCAGCGGTGCTGTCCGGTGGCTCTCCCAGTCCCGGCGCAGCACGTGCGCATACGCCGCCGACGGCGCTGTTGTGTCAGCCGGGTGTTGGTCACCAGACCGGTCGCCTTGCCTGCAGGGACGGGCCGTGGCCCGGTGTCAGGCGGGTGGCGACATGGACAGTCAGATAGGTATGGATATTATAGGCTGGATAGAAGTAGTGGCTGTATGCGACTGACTGATGCTGAATGGCATTATGAGTGCTCTGCTTGCTGAAGTACTTGGCGATACCTTATCAACCAAACTGGTAAAATTACGGTAACGGCCACGAAACGCGAAGGGATAATTGAATAAGTTGTAAAAATGTTGAGCTGTTAATGATTTCGTTTGGCAGTTATTTCAAATCATTCATATTCTGCCGTTAGATGGCGCTGGGTGAGAGCGCCTGAATGTAGGCTGTTCCGCACAGCCGCGCTCGCTCGCTCGCTTGCTGGCTCTCTGGCTCGCTGTGGTGTCTCACCGGCTCTCTGCGCCCACTCGATGAGCGAGGAGAGCGGCCGGCCGCCGGTGCAGAGGTTGCCGTCGGAGGTCGAGTCCACCCCCACCCGGTGGAAGTTGGTCTTGGCGCCGCAGAACAGCGCCGTGGCGCACGCCGCGCTGTCGCCCACCTGGGCATTCACGTTATACGTCTGAGGGATAGAAAAATGGTGTGTGTTGACCCAATGGGACGGTGAATGCTGAGAATCGACCCATTAAACATAGCAGGACGTTCAGATGCACTCGCTTTTTATATGTGACCGACCAATAAACACATGCTAACAATAAACACATGAGCGAACACGGACAATACAAAGCTCGTGTCGAATAATCGAAAAGTAAGCTGTCTGCCTAAATAGGTCACACATACGCCATTTGCCAGTAGCGCAGGTCTGTTTCATCAGGCTATCTCGTGTCCGCTACCTTGGCCAGTCCGACGAAGGGGAATTTCTCGAAGGCGAGCCGGTACTGCTCGCCGCTCTGGCGGAACTCCTGGCCGCGGTAGATGCGTCCAGCGGTCACCGTGCTCATGCCCATGCCGTCTCCGACCAGCAGCACCACGTTCTTGGCGACGTGCTCCTGGCGCTGCCGTTCGAGCACCTCGTGCAGCGTCCGCTGGCCGTTCTCGTACCAAAACTGCTGGTCTGCCGACACGGGGAGCGTGAAACGCAACGGTCATACAGGCACGAATACAAAGGCAGCGCACTGAGTGACGTAATTAGGAGTTTGGTTTGGGGATAGCCTACTGACTCTCGCTCTCTCTCTCTCTCTCTCTCTCTCTCTCTCTCTCTCTCTCTCTCTCTCTCTCTCTCTCTCTCTCTCTCTCTCTCTCTCTCTCTCTCTCTCTCTCTCTCCCTCTCTCTCTCTCCCTCCCCCCTCTCTCCCTCTCCCTCTCTCTCTCTCTCTCTCTCTCTCTCTCTCTCTCTCTCTCTCTCTCTCTCTCTCTCTCTCTCTCTCTCTCGTGTCAATAAATATTCGCATTATATTCAAGAAGTTATCCGGCTATGGAATTACCAGTGGAAAACCAGTGCTCCTGGTCGCACGTAATGATGGTAATATATTCCCCCGGCATGCATCAGAGAAAAGTAACAGAGAAAAATAGCACACCTTATAAAAGTTTAACATCCCGCTGGTAGTAAACACTTGCTAACTTTAGCTGTGTTCCGTTTCAAGGTTCATGCTTCGTGCGCGACTGAACGATGCATTTAAGCATTATGTGTACTTTGTAAATGATGTCGAAATCCCGGGGCATCAATTTTAAGCATTTTCATGTTGCTCAGCTTCATTTGGCAGCGAAACTATGTTCACAGTGGATGTTTGATTACTTCTGATGACGTCTGCGTATGGGTGATTGTTTAAGGTTATGAACCTATGAAGAGCATATGCTTGTGGTGAATGATATGGTGCATGCTGCACTGTAGGGGAAGGAGGGTGAATTGCGCCACCTTAAGGAAAAACGCTGATTGTAAGAAAACCGCTGGAGATATAAGCATGCACTGGTAACCACTTCAAAGAGGAACTCATTAGCTACGATTTAAGAGCCTCCCGATCAATTAAGAATGTTTCGTTTGCTTCCGACAGCTGCTTTTCAGAAACATGCAAAAGGGCGCATTTACCGACAACTGCTGTAAATTGCGCCAGGGGGATGGCGCAATTAGAATCCAATTGCGCCCTATACTTAAACATGGCTAAGCGAATGAGACGGAATGCATACACCCCGGCAGTGTAATGTCATTGCGGCTTACTTAAACATTTATAATGTTAATCAGGCTGGATAAATAATAAATGTAGATATAAATCGCGATGTTTTTTGCCCAGGTAAATAACTTTACATGTGTCCGTATGTTTGTAAAAGTGCAACGAAAACGTTTTATGTAACCGACTAGATATATGTGAAAGTATGGTTAAATTTTCAATCGTTTCTCTCAAAATTATTAACTTTTATCGTTTCGACAACTTGTTGACATCAGTTTTTACTTTTTGATCATAGCTGTCACCTCTCACGCCCGAGTCCATGTTGAAAATGCCGTATTTTGTCAATTACACCACAAGTTGGCAGCCTAAATGGCAGCTGCATTATAAGTTTGACGAGAGAAATAATTTGCGGACTGGCGACAGCGGGCTGCTCCCCTGCCTGGTATTAAACTCCTTCTTTATTGCAATCAGTTAATGGTGCATTCATACTGTCGTGATACAATAGCTACACCATTATTCTATTTGCGCCCCCATGGCGCAATTGCCATGGGCGCAATTAGAATTGAGGTACTTTTTAATAAAAGCGTAGAAGTCATCATAAATATGCTGAAGGAAGTTTACTGTTTAAATGAAATATAATGAAAAAATGGGCTTTCTTTCTAAATATCACTCTGAAAATCACACACGTATCACAGATTTTTATAGCCAACGGTTCAAAATACTGCAAAAAAGCTAAGAAAACGCCGTAATATCTTTGATGGCGTAACTGAGCCCTGCTGATTGGCTTCGTCGGAGAGCTTGGGCCATAAAATGAACTATCAGGTGGTGAAAATATTGTTTTCGAACACAAAATTATAAACATGCCATTGAATTCGTGGGAATGTTGGTGGGCGCAATTGGTTAGGAGGGCGCAATACACCCACTTTCCCCTACAATTCTGCTGCTGGTGCTGGTTATGTGATAGACATACGATCGTAACAATCAATGCTGGATGGGTAGATAGGTAGGCGGAAAACCCCAAAGCCTGCTGGTAACTAGACTCAAGACTGGTACCTACCTGATTTCCAAGAGCGCATAATGAAAAACAATCAATAGATATTTGTTTCTCAGCTATCGCATTACGCATCTCTTGCACAGATTTTCCTCCGACGTGGCTGTAATAATACAGCTGAACGAGGAATGATGCAGTGCGTCCATCAAATAAGCCACTCGCTGACAAAGCACGCTATCATGTTCGCAGACTCCGGCTGAATGCCGAGTGTGCTACCTCTGCCAAGGCCGTGACCCTATAAATGCACAGGGTTTGAACCCAAAGGTCGAATCGACCAACGTCCACCTTTTATACGCCGTCACTGCAGTTACCAGGGCGAGACCAACGGCACATCGAATACCCTGTTTGGTCTTCTTAATTAATCGATTGAGCGTGGGTGAACGGCTCCAGCCGTTCTTTTTTCCTCCTTGCAGCTGAGTCCAGATTACACGCAAATGAGATAGGTACTAACGCGCGAACAGTGGACAATTTCCGTGGTATCCACACGGGCTTTCGGCGTAATTTCCGTGGGGCGAACCGTAATGACGGCGAGCCTTACGCAGATGTTTGTAGGATGATACCCGATACTATTATGTAGCCTGTACAATACTGACGCAATCCGAGGGTCTAATTATCGGCACCGACTGAATGTAGGCCAAATAGAGCCAATAAAACTGAGCCATCCACCCACTGCCATGAGGCAATGCGGCAGTAGCAGCAGCAGCCTACTGAAATAAAAACTAGCGAGATTGGAGATCGCGCTAATTGGAATATTATGCCTACACTCTACACCTACAGTACATGGTGATCTACTATTTCACAAAGAAGTCTAAAGACTCAGCTAGTAAGGCAAAAATTGTGAAAAATATAGCAGCAGTTATTTACCTCATTGATAAATTTCACTTTGCAAGATTTCAAAACAATGTTAGAGACAATATTGGGCAAATACAAGTGAGCGGATATAAGAATACCTTATTCTTCAATGGGGTTGGGAACTCGATTTTTTAAGAATGTATAGAAATGATCAAACTATTTTCGCAGAATTTATGGCGCATACAATTTCCTCATAAAATCATTATGCTGAGAGAAATGGGGTAAGACAGATAGAAAACATATTTTTTAAAGTTCTTGAAAAAGACGCTCTTGATGCTGTTACGTCACATGTCACCTTCTGCGGTTGACAAATAATGGCGCATCTGGCACACCACCGATTACATGTTATTTCAGTGATGTTATTTCTATGTGTGAAAGAGGTTGTTTGTTTCACTCTGCCATTCGCGCTGTTTTTAGCTTTAAATTATGCTAAAGCATTCACGGATGAAAGGTTCAGTGTCAAAAATTGATGCGTCTGCCGTGTACCTACTGTTCCCATTTAACATTGAGCGCGTGGTAATCATTTTGTGAACCTCGAATTTTCAAATGAAAAACATGATGAATCGGAAGATGCTGAAGGGCAAAAGCCTTTCCAATACGCATTTGGTCTAATTTATGATTAACATTTTAACATTTCTCTAATCTTATTAATAATTTCTTTGTTCTTTTTCATAAAAAAAATAACTCTAGGCGTTGAGAACCGAGGTAATTTCTATCTACCGTGCCTTAAAGGGACCCTCCCACCTTAACATTAGATTTGAGTTGACATAGCCAAATTGGTGGCCATGGCCTGAAAATACCGGTTTGGGCACTCACAACATCGAAAAATGCTTTAATTCGGAGATATCGAATTTCAAACTTGCAGTTTTCAGATTCTAAGGGGCTAATGCATTGGTATGCCCCCTTAGAATTTGTGACGTCAGCGGAGATCTAACGATTTTAAATCTTTTACTAAAACGTTTGGTAGCACGCGGTGGTATATGCTGCTTTGCGCGCAACAAATGCCGCACTTTCAAATAAAGTCGCTAGGAACAGCGGAGATCCCAAAAAGTAAACAAAAGTAAAAGTCTAATATCTTGAAAACCGGTGAATATTTTTCGATGAAATTTGGTAGATATTCGTTTTTGCTCTTTCTGAACCGAGCGACATCACTTTCATGCCAATTCATTAACTTTTTTGAAGGTGGGAGGGTCCCTTTAACTTACCAGCAACAGCAATCTATCTACGCCCTACGGTGGCAAGGGAGACTGTGAAAGAAGCGTGAGATGGATTCTAAACAATTCTTTTATATATACTGTGATATACTGAAGGGCAAACAGAGAAAAGCGTACAAGTCCTGTTTTGCGCCAGGCTGTTTTAGTATCACTTATGAAACTCCGAAAACGATCTTCGTTGATCGTTCATGTCCCGAACAACATTACCCTGAGGAGATGATCGTCTGCAATAGCAAGAAGAGCTGATGTAAGTACTTTGAAATCCACTATCAAGTCGGTGATATTGTTGTAATGATCACTGTGAGGTGAGATATTTTGTACAAGGGCTGAGTGTAATGCCCAGGAGATGACCTCCATTCGCCCCCTGACCGGTCAGGGTTATAAAATTTGAGTGGATGGCGGTCCGTTTGTGGTTCAGATGTCAATTGTATTTTGTTACTGTCAAACAATACATGTTATGCTGGCAGCGAATGTGTGTAACGTCGGTTTTCGAACAGAAGTTAGAACTGTAACGGCAGAGTGCTTGCTGGTCTCATCGTAAGTATTGTAACAGTATTGTAAGCATTGTCAATATTGTAGGCATTGTGAGCATTGATGTATGGTAGATATCACCTCACATGATCTCGCCCTCAGATAACCCTCTCCGGTGTCCCTGTCAGTAAATGGCACCTGGATCATTACAGATAAGATAATTTGTCATAATTCTTAAAGAATTGGGTGGTTTTGACTCGTTTACTCGAGGCAGGTCGCATTTCAATATTTTCCATAGGCTTGCAATGTAAAGGTCACGGCTCTGACCTAACCTCAGGTCACAGATAAAATATTCTGAGAT